AAGGGGGGCCCGGAGCAGATGCCATCGCAGCAGAGTGGGCACTTCTGCGGCAGCACTGGCTCTGGGGTTATTGTGATGACACCCAGGGCCTAAATCCCCTGTGCTTCCCCCCAGATCACAGACATCTTGAGGAGAAGTTCAGCTCTCCAGTGAGCTCCCCCAGCCCAGCACCGGTCCCCAGCAGTACCCAGCACCAAACCTGCCAGGACTGCAGCCCCATCTCCCAGCCCTGACTTGCTGAAGGGAAGGTTTCCTACACCCCACCGGTATCTGGCAAGAGGGGAACACTTCCCTCTCCTACAGACAGAGCGAGCCTGCGCCTAGCCGGAGAGAAGGATACAGCCAGCTCCGTGCCAACTTCGGTGGTCCAGATGCTGTAGAAGGGGTTCTTCAGCTGCACTCCCCTGCAAAGAGGAGGGAATACACTGAGCTGCCACAGAAGCCAATGGGCTCAGGGCCCCACGTCCGCTGTGCAGCCTGCAAAGACCTGGGCACACGCCTTCCCGTCCGGGAGAGGAGGAATCATGGTGGGAAGCGTTTCTTTACAGCCCTATGGGACAAGCTACGCTGCTGGGAAACACCAGCACGCTTCAGTGTGCTCACCGGAGCTGCTCCCGGCTTCAGGAGACAGGGCTGTGCATCCAGCCACGGGGGTTAAAACTGCTGCTCCCTGTTGCGGAAGTGGCCGGGCGCCCCGGCTCGCTGCTCGGGGAAGGCTCGCCCCGGAGGGCGGCACGCACGGGCTGGAGAGCTGCACCTACCTCTCGCACATGTCGAAGATGAAGAGGCAGAAGGAGCCAACAGCTATGGGTCCAACCTGCTTCCAGTACCCCGAGAGACGATTCCGCTCGTTCTGGTCCTAATCAGAGGGACAAGAGGTGGGGAGGAGGAGGAGAAAAAGGAAGTTAGCCTGAAGTCTTCTCAACTGGTGTGAGTGCCCACAGCGTTGTTTTCACCACTCGGCAAGCACCAGGCAGTTGGCAGGTACCTTTGCAAGGTACCTCTTCCCTTCTGTGTCGTACCCACCATCATGTGCTCTCCGCAGAAGATGATCCAAAACGACAGGAGCATGGCATAGAAAATGCCTTGTCGAATGTCCCCGAAGAGCAACATCCACGTCCAGTCAAATCCGATGGAAAACCACTCCACGGGGATGTTAATGAACGTCATGGAAATTCCCAGAGCAAAGATGACCCTGGAGAAGCAGAGACGCCATCTCTTTCCGGTTTGCAAGGCCGCGTGCGAAGAGCGACTGGAGAAAACCTGGCCCTGTCTGGGCAGCGGGGCGTCACCTCCCGCCGGCAAACCCTCTGGGGCTGGGCCTCTCTGAGCACCCGCGGCCAGACGTGCTACGGGCCAAACCCATAGCTGCTTGTTTGGAAGGGGTTTAATGGGAAAGAAGAGGTGCTACGGATGCCTCCTGCTCCCAGTGTGACTGCGTGGAGGGAGGGGACGGAGAAGAGACTGTCCCCGTGTCCCCAAACACGGGAGCGGCCACCCCCTCGGACAGGGGCACGGCTTGAGGGTGCCCTCACCCCGCGCGTGAGCCCCTACTCACTTCTCCAGCAGGACAGGAGCACGTGTCATCAGCGTGATCCGTCTCCAGTACCAGACCATGATAATTAAAATGCTGGGGGTGAGGAAGGTCTTCATGGCAAACCACACTTTTGTGAAGCCTCCGTTTTGATGGATACCCTACGGAAAACCAAGGTGGAGTGGGACATCATTACTCCGTGCTTCGGCAGCAGAGGCAGGTACACGCCGACACTTGCAAGCACACGGAGACGCAACTACTCTTCGACAGACGCGGTTTGCCCGACGCAGGAGAGGGAGCGGGTGCCTACTCGGTACCCCGGCCGTCTGAGCAGGCTTCAAAGGTCCTGAAAAAACGGCAACGCGTGTGGCTTCCCCTGCGAGGCGCGGGGCCGTTGAGAGAAGGGCACTGACACAGCGTGGAAAAACCAGGCAGGATTGCTCCCAGACGAGTAACAAGACACTCGTGAAGCAAAGTCACCACTGGTGGGAAACGCATCAGCCAGATGAATGCATTTCTCCAGACACACGCCCTCCCACCGCCGTCTGCAGCCACCGCAGCCGGCTGGCTCCCTGCTGCCGAGGGGGACGGTGGTGGGAGGTTTCCCAGCCAGGAAAAGCACCCACGGCCACCGAGCCGCAAGGGAGGGCAGGAGCAGGGATAGCCGGCAGCCATCCCAAATGTCTGTGTGGAGATGGCCAACTCCAAGCGGTGCAGGTCCTGCCCGAACCCGGCTGTTCTGTTCCTCCTTAGCTCCTACCCGCGAGAGGCAGGGCCGGATCAGGAGGGCTCCGAGCCTGAGAGGGGAGGACAGAGGGGACTCGGAGCCGAGGGAAGAGCCCAGCTACGGAGGGGCAGTAGGGTGGCACTGCTCAAGGCTCAGGGAGGGCTCCTTAGAGGAGAGCAGTCGGAGTGCCATCCCTCAGGGCGAGGCAGGAGCTCCCCGTGACAAGGAGTTGGATGTTTGCTGTGGATCAAAGAGGAGATGAAGAAAGGAGCCACAGCGGCCCCGGGGAGATGCCCTTGCTGGCCGCAGCATCGCAGGGCGCAGCCGCTCTCCCGGAGGCGGTGGGCACACAGAGAAGCGAGACAGAGACTTACCACGAGGCGGATATCCTTGATTTCCCCGATGCCCACGTTGATGCCCTTCCTCTCGTTCACAGGGAGGCGGATGTTGATGAGGTAGTACTTGTGAGCCACGCTGCCGATCTCCATGAAGGGCAGGAAGTCGCAGTCGTAGTGACGGCCCTCAGACTCCAGCGTCTAGCGAAAGGGCACAGAGCAGCGAGACGGCAGTCAGCCTCCGACAGACCAGCACACCCCCCGCGGCGAGGGTCCGCAAAATCCCTAACGCTGAACGCAGCTGGGTCCATCGCTAGCACCGAGAGCCTGCTGGCTAAACAAACACCGCCCCCACG